AAATAAATTTAATCTCATGAATTTGGGGTTTTAAAAATTACATGCGACAATATAAATTGTAGTTTGATTACTCCTGAATCTTTCCAAATAATGAATGAACTAAATGAATTGAGTTCTCTGATTTTACTGAGTATCTCCTCACAGGAGGATTCTGGAGCTCCCAGCAAAAAGTTTAACCAGTTTAGAGTTTTCTTCTTGCTTTTCAGAGTCCCAGGCTAGATCATATTTGTTCAGGTGGAAGCATATTTGATATACAGAGTTGACTGAAGGGAAATTTTTATGGTAATTTCTATGTGTCACCTACAGACCTGCCAAGAGATGGGTTTTACTTTATATTTAGGAGGGTTTTTTTTTCTTTGCCACCTTGTTAACTCTTGTGTAATATTCATGAGAAAGAATAACGTCCAGATGGAGATGGTACCTGCAGATGTTAATCTGGATGGACTCAGATCAACTCTAATTTGTTTCGGTTCATAGATTGTTACATTTGTTCTGTGCGTTTCAGAAAGTTTCTTAACTCTTACAGTTCTTTCTGTCTTAGTAACAGCAACAAGTGGGAATGGAGACTTTGGTGACTGGAGTGCCTTCAACCAAGCCCCGTCTGGCCCTGTTGCTTCCAGTGGCGAGCTTTTTGGCAGTGCCTCACAGCCAGCTGTAGAACTTGTTAGTGGCTCACAACCAGCTTTAGGCCCATCTCCAGCTGCCTCAAATTCTTCAGACCTGTTTGATCTTATGGGCTCATCCCAGGCAACCATGACATCTTCCCAGAGTATGAATTTCTCTATGATGAGCACTAATGCTGTAGGGCTTGGTTTGCCCCTGTCAAGATCACAGGTAAGTTGTCTGCTTCCCTTGGAAATTGTGGTTCATAATGTTTGAGGTGCCTTAACTCATCTAATGATAGACTAGCATAAAATAGAAAGTAAGCAAACCACGCGTGTCCCACTTCAGCACATTGCCTTTACTTACACTCTTTCCCCTAGTGTAGTCATTTGATTTCTAGAGGGCAAGGCCTTCTCGCCCATCTTCTAGTCACTGTAAAGCCAAGCATGGTGCCTTACACAGAGGAGGGACATGCTAAAAATTTATTGAATTATAACAAATTGGTATTTAATAGTTTTTAAAATTGTTTTTTAAGAAAAAGAAATAGAGAAATTGCTTCACCCATGTTAACCATTCACTCTGTAAAGTTTCTGGTCATGTCCTTAAAGAAGTATCACTCGTTGGTAGTCAGGAGTCATTGCTGATATAGAAAATCATTCTTTCAAATGGTAACTGTTCCTCCCCTTTCTGGGTCTACTCTATATTATATAGACTCTTCGTCCAACTCTCATTTTCATAAAGGAAAACAACTAAAATGGGAGTTTCTTCATTCACTTTTTTATAGTTAAGTCCAAATTACCTAATATAGAATTTGAACAAGTTCAGGTTTGGAAAATATATGTCTGAGTTGTACTAGGAACTTGCTATTTTTGACTCAGGCTATTGAGAATATTTATTGATGATGCTAATTACTCATTTTAATATGTAGATTCTCCTCTCTGAGGTGTTAGGATGAAGGAAGAGAAGAAAGAAGCAGAAAGGTGACTGCTTTGTATAACAGAAATTAGGCCTAACATACAATTTAAGATTTATAAAGTCATTCTACTTTATTTGTGATCTTAACTGTAAATATTGTGTTTCTTTGCATTGCTACATTTGTACTTATTCTTCCTGTTCCTATTCCTTTTTTCTTTCCTTTTCACAGTTATTCTTAGTAACCACCGGGAACCTCTGTTTCTTTCTCCTGAATTTCTTTTTTCTCTTTAATTGGTCCATCATGTTCTTCTAGTGTTGCTCACTTTAGGCAGCAGTGTGCACAGAGCAGGGAAATGTCAATCAGAATATGTGTAATATAATCTGCTATTTGATGGTTTGGCCTTTTTATAACATGAGAAGTCATATCCCAAATTTTGTTTTGTAAGAATAAATTTCCACTTGTATTATCTCCTTAAAGCTGTACTAACATGATGGTGGTAGTTGCCCTGGGCATTTGCTAGGGGTAGTGGCTTCTAGACTTTGGGTGGCGGGAGAATAACTGTTAGTGTAGATATGTTGTTGGTTTTTTCCACCTCGAACCTAATAGGAACTGTAGAGGAACCTCTCTGGGAAGTTTATGATTCAGAGTATAAAAGACTTTTGCACAGAACTAGCATAGAACATTTATGGTTCTTTTTGGTTTCAGAAGTTCATTACTATGGTTAAATTGCCATCTGATAAATCTTTATAGAACAGATGCTTAATTTTTAGAGCATTTTTCTATTTTTCAGCCTTTGCAAAATGTTAGCACAGTGCTGCAGAAGCCTAATCCTCTCTATAATCAGAATACAGATATGGTCCAGAAATCAGTCAGCAAAACCCTGCCCTCTACTTGGTCCGACCCCAGTGTAAACATCAGCCTAGACAACTTACTACCTGGTATGCAACCTTCCAAACCCCAGCAGCCATCGCTCAATACGATGATTCAGCAACAGAGTAAGTTACCTCAAGACATCTCACTTTTTTGTGTGCTTGTAATCTTTTGCCCTGATGCCAGGACTGCTACAGGCTATGAGATAAAATACGTGACATGAACTATAGCTAACAGTTAACTAAAATCTTTTCACATAATACTCACTTCATATCCCTTCTGGCACATTGAATTACTTTATTTTACCCTTGGCATGATAACATTTATTGTATTATGGTGAGTCTTGGGGGCCTGATTACTAAAATAAAAATATTTGCTATATAAATTTTTTAAATATAGGCAAATATGAAGAAACAAAAATCATCTGAATTCCACAGGCTAGGGGTAATTAATAGATATTTATTTCAGTCTTTTCTAAGCACATTTTTAATACTTGGGATCATTCTGTCTCTATTGTTTTGTTTCTTGCTGCTCTCATTTAACATTAAATTATGAGGCCAGGTGAGGTGGCTCACTCCTGTATCCTAGCACTTTGGGAGGCTGAGGTGGGAGGATTGCTTGAGGTCAGAAGGTTGAGACCAGCCTGAGCAAGAGTGAGACCCCATCTCTACTACAAATAGAAAAAATTAGCTGGACATGGTGGCATGCACCTGTAGTCCCAGCTACTTGGGGGACTGAGGCAGAAGGATCACTTGAGCTCAAGACTTTGAGGTTGTGGTGAGCTGGATTGTGCCACTGCACTCTAGCCCAGGCGACAAAGTGAGACTTTGTCTCAGGAAAAAGAAAAGAAAAAAACATTAAATTATGATAATTTTTCCTGTGTTGCATATTCTTAGGAAAAAATGATTTTTAGATCTTCATAGTTATCAATTAAATCAGTGTGTAATTCCTCTTGCCAGTTATTTAAATTGTTTTCAGCCTATTGTTCTTATAAATAACTTCAGGATTTTGTATAAACCTTTGTACTTAAATTTTTTTTCTTAATGTAATGTTCTAAAAACAGAGTGAGTCAAAAGGTATAAACTTTTTAAAGGTTTTGATACACATTAGCTCATGAAAACTTGTTAGGTAGGCTTTAACAATAGAATTTTTAAGAATATTTTAAACTGGCTCATGTTTTTCCCCAGCCCACTCCTACTGCTTCTACATCTCTGGAAAACCAGGGCCAAGAGCCACTGAATGTTTCCCAAGAGTAACCAGTGCAAATTAATTGACTTCTCTTATAAAATCACTGTAAAGGAATTTTGCTGGGGCTAAAGGTATTGATGGTCAGGAAGATTATATTAGTTTTCTGCTCTATGAATCTAAGAATTCATTGTGGTAAAGTTGTCTGTTTTCTTCTGGTAGATATGCAACAGCCTGTGAATATGATGACTCAAAGTTTCGGTGCCGTGAACCTCAGTTCTCCATCAAACATGCTTCCTGTCCGGCCCCAAACTAACACTTTGATGGGGGGACCTATGCCTATGAGCATGCCCAGTGTGATGACTGGCACCATGGGAATGGCCCCTCTTGGAAATACTCCGATGATGAACCAGAGCATGATGGGCATGAACATGAACATAGGGATGTCAGCTGCTGGGATGGGCTTAACAGGCACGATGGGAATGGGCATGCCCAACATAGCCATGACTTCTGGAACTGTGCAACCCAAGCAAGATGCCTTTGCAAATTTCGCCAACTTTAGCAAATAAGAGATTGTAAAGAAGCAGATTGAATGAAGAATTTTTAGCTGTGCAGATAGGTGATGTTGGGATGGAAAATGCTAATCAGCTCCCCTTTATCAATTAATTAAAATAAACCTCCATAAAGAACCAAAAAGGCTGTTTTATAAAAGTGAAATATCTAGTATTTTAGAAGGCCAGGCAAGAGCGCTTCAGATGAGGCAGTCAGAATCATTTTTTCCAGTGAGAATAAACCACAATGGGGTGGTGAGACCACTGAAAGCCTTTATAAATTGAAGAACCCATTTAATATCATAATTTGTGGGAAAACTGAAATAGGGCTGAATAAATGTGTTTGAATCTCTAATTTTATACTTTCTTTTCCTGAGGAACTTGATTTTTCTGTCCCTGAATCGCCTTGTCATAATTGGGTCTGTTCCTTTTACTACCACTCTGAGTCCATATATGAAATCATTAAAGTTGGATGATCAGTTTTTTATAAAAATATATATTTTTGTCCAAAAATGGCATACATATGTGATTATGGCTAAATCAAAGGTAACTGGAATGTATATATACTTTTGCTAATGTTCCAGCAACACTGCTATTATACTATCCAAATTTTTATTGTAACAATTGGTGATAGCTATGGGACTTTCCCCATGTCTTCTGCTATAATTATCCTGTGCAAAACTAGGAAAAAATATTTTTTTCAGGACTGCTCTATGGTTTCCTTTAAAAGAAAAAAAACCTCCAGTATTTTTGTTTGTTTTCAGCAGTCATCATTTACAGTTTGCAGTGATTAACTTGGCAAGGCTTTCCTTCCGTGTTTATCCCTGTAGCCATCATTTAAGTCAGGAACAGTCAAAAAAGAAAAATATTTATTTTATTATTATTTCTTTTTTTGGTGTCTGAAAAGGTAAAAATCCATTAAAACCTTAAGTTAAATATAAATGCTAGAACTCAGTGTTCACTTTTAGATTTTATACAGTATTTGTTTTGTTTTGGTTTTGAGTGTATATAATGTGGCATTAGCAACATGGTTCCAATAGAGAGGAGTTAAATATATATTATTAAAGGAGACCTGTAGCAGTCAAAGATTTTATTGATTTAATGACAAATAAAGGAAATTAATTAAAATGTTTTCGTTTTTCTGCTGTAATTCTGCATTAAGCTCACATGAAAATCATGATTCTAGAGTTTGGAATGCAAAATTGTCTCACCCTCAAGCTGGGAATATTTTTCAAAATAAATATTATAATATAGATATCAAATTATCACCTCCCCACTTTATGTTGAAAATTTTTTTATTAAATTGATAAAACTTTGTTTCCATTGTATTCATAATGTTCTGTTATACATAACATTAAAATGTTCATTAAAATGAATGTTGAGCTGCTTTTTCTTTCATTCTGTTAGACATTTGAGACCATTTGGGGGAAAAATAATTATGATTTGGGCAAAGTAATTTTTATAAATAATTTAAAATTATTTAATGACTTCTCTATTCTTTCCTATCGTACTCTACTGTTAGAAATTAAAAATGAAGCAGCAAAGATAACCTGACCTGCTCCATTCTTGCTAATGTTCCATCTACAACATTTCTAATTAGGCAGAAATTCATGTACTTCAGCTAAGTGGTAATGAAAAGTGATTCATTTGCTGAATAAGAGATGAGAGGGAATGTAATTAGCTGACTGCGGTTTTTAATCTTTCAACAATTCAATGTGTTTAAATTAGTTTCAAAGAATAGGAGCTTTCAAGTGTTGTTACTTCAGAACAATCAAACTAACCTCCGGTGGCAGCAGAGTAGAATATCTTTCTTGATATTTAAAACCTGTAATCTTAAATAAATTTTTTCTTTAAATTAAGGATATCTCCACCTTCTCATATATATATATATGGTTCTTCGAGGAAGTAAATATTTTGTATCTAAACTTGTGTTTAAATTTTTTTTCTAGGAAGATTTATCTCTAAAGCATTTTCTGCATCATGCTGCCTTTCTACATTGTATCTCCTTTTTTATTGAACCTCAACATACAGTTCGTTACCAGTATTTTTTGTTTCTGAGCCCATGAAAGAGAAAAACAGTGGCTTCACTGAAGGTCTGTCCAATTTCATGATTTGTCACTAAAGGAATTACTAAGTGTTAACCTCGAAGAAAGGCATGAATACCACAAAATCGTTTGGAGCTGACAAGAAGATACTCTGTTTGGTTCCCTTCTACCTGTCCTCTACCCTTTCCCGTTTTAAACCACAGCCTTTCTGTTTGTATCTATTTTTTATCCTGTCCAATATTGTGAGGGAAAAGTTACTGTTCTAGCGATTCATGTCTGGTGAGTGAGCCTACACAGCCACTGCAGATTCATTTTTGTTTCCCTCTCTAGATTTTCTTCTTTTTACTTTTCTGGTATCTTTAAGCACCATAAATGTACACACTGTTCTTGTAGAGTACTTTGGTTAGATGTTTGCTTTTTTGTTTAAAATAAATTGCCTGAATGATGATATCCATAATACAATTGGTTTTGGGGTAGTCACTGCATTGGGGCCTATAGTGTTTGTGTATATATATTTGTAGATGTATATAGCCATTAATATGTGGAGGGAAGGGTTAATACTTTTTTTCTTCTCATATATTTATGAAACAGTAGTTTTACTTCTTAGGTGAATTAGAGATTTACCTTCTTTCTGAACTTCATCTTATCTCATGAAGTCATGCATCATGGTATAGTTGTCTAGCTGAGATATTAGGAAATAAAACTGAATCTGTGCTGAGCATGGAACACACCTTATGTTAAGTGGATTTCTGATAAAAACTGGCCATGTTGTTTCAGCTCTCCCAGGAGGCAGCATTGCATTGTAGAAAGAACAAGTGCTTGAAAGCAGAGAGATGAAATACCCTTTCACTCACTCGCTGTGTGACCTTGATCCATTTCCCTGATCTCTCTGGGCCCTAATATATTTTTTCTAAAATGAACTTGTCTTGAAATGTTGGATAATTAAATAAAATAATGAGTGAGATCCACTAGCACTGACACATGTGCTTTTAATGAGTGAGATCCACTAGCACTGACACATGTGCTTGCTCTAAATGTTTCTCTGCCTCCCTTTTCGATGTAAATGCCTACATGGCAACAATTTTCTTTGTGCCCGTCACTGTGCTGAACACTTAATGTGAATATCGTCTAATTTACACAACAAATTCAAGTACATATTCCTGTTTTATTCCTAAAAGCAAAGTATAGTTAAGAAGCCTGAGAGACGATTCCATTAAGTTAGTTTCTAATTGAGGACTTTACTATCTGCATGAATTTAACTCAGCTTGCTTTTTTTTTTAACTGTCAAGGAAATTGTAAATGAATTGTTTTGTGAATGTATTGACTCACTCCTACTTACCACATTAGTGCAGACGTGAGGGGGAGAGCTAGTAAAGTGAGCTCTTGCTGTAGCATTTGCCACACAAGTAACTCTCATTAGAATGTTCTCAGCTTTTTCAAGCTGTGCAGATCGCCATTTTTTCATTGATTGACTTCTTGCAGTTTCGTTGACTAAGATTTTGCTATTCTTCTAATACCCAGTTAAGCAATCAGATATAAAGACTTAAAAAAAAAAAAATCCATGAAAGGGGATTTTTTGTTTACTTTGAACTCAGTAGGACCTTGATTCTTACGTGCCTGCCTTCTTTACTAATGGCAGCCTTGCTAATACTTGTTTCCTCGCAGACCTGAGCAGCTCTCGGACCCTTCTACACTGGCCTTGCTTACCCCAGTGAGGGGGAATCAGCGCTTGGCTCATTCAGTCCTTAGCTTCCCGGGGACTTGGGAGGGATTTGAAGTCCTGATGGGCCAAAACAGCTTTCATTTCCGACTCTTTTTAAAAAGTCATTTTAAATAACTGAGTTCTGAACTATGAAATCCTACTTTTCCTTTCCATTTGATTTTTCTTAATCATGTATCTTGCAGTTGTGTTCTTTAAATACTCCAAGCACACTTTTTCCTATTTTGTAATGAGATAGAAGAGAACTTATATTTGGTATGTGGAGCAGTTTGGTCCCTGGACCCTCTCTACCCCCTTAAAAGCTGAGGACCCCAAAGCATGTTTGTTTACATGGGTTATATCTGTTGATATTTACTGTATTTGACATGAAAACTGCAAAGCTTTAAAAATACTGATTTTACAATAACCCATTATGTGTTAACATAAACTGCAATTTTATAAGCTATATTTTCCAAAATAAAAATTTTTGAGAAGAGTGGCATTGTTTTACATTTTCGAAAATCTTTTTAATGCCTGGCTTAATAAAATATCGCTGGGCTCTCTTAATCTGCTTCTGCATTCAGTCTGCTGTGATCCGCTATTTTGGTGAAAGTTTACGAAACAAGTCCGGCCTCAGGAATAGATGTTTGGAAAAGGTAGAGTCCTGCAGCTTCCAGGAATGGGTCTCAGGGATCCTCAGTGGTCCTCAGACTGTGCTTGGCAACTGTAGCTATAAAGAATTATCAGATAAGATTATTCTCTCGTGTATTATGTATCCATTTGCCCGATTGATTATAAAGGGATCTGCCTGAAGTACAAAGAACTTAGTTTAGCCTTTCACCAGTCACCAGCAAAACGCCTGTCATATGAGATTGTTCTCTGGATGCTGGATATTAAAAATTAGTGACACCATAGCATTTGCTCAGTTTTTGAGGTTATTTCTTCCAGTACACAGTGCATATCTACTAGCTTTTATAAGTATGAAGAGTAAGTTGCTTACTCACTTTGGGTTTTTGAGAAAAGAATAGACTGAGAGACTGAGTGTTGGGTGTTTGGTGAGTTGTCAATCTTTGAAACCTCCTTTTCTGATCTTTGAGAAGTGAGAGAAAAATGGGTCAAACGTGAAGGCCCCTGACCTGTTCACAAGGGTGCCTGGCAACTTTGTATACTTTGTGTTTCTGGCAAAACCTCACAGAAGGATATGATCATAGAAATAGTACATCCACATTCATAGTGTTCCTTATTAATCCTAGATGAATCTGATCCCCAAGATTGGAGGAATATTCCTGCAAAGTTTCCATCCGGTTCACAAACTGGCAATACCAGCAAGCTCTGTGCTGGACACCTTATATACATCAACACGCTTCATGGCCTATGAATGACCTCCCTGTGATAGACACAGAACAGGAGAGTCAGAAGCAGAATAGCCACAACAAGCTTTGGGAAGATTGTTGTGCAGCGTCCCCAGATCGGAGACTATTGATTTCCAGTGACTGATCACCAGGGCCAGCTTTCAGTCAGTCCATTTGGCAGGGTTTTGTCATGGAAAGAGGAAGGTGATTTCAGACCGAATTCCCCATCTCAGAAGAGCTTTGTTTGGAAATGAGTAAATAGAGTAGGCACAATTAATATTTGTTAATGAATGAAGCATTGAAGATGTGATTGTGTCTGGTAATTTATAAGCCAGTTTTATTAAACTGTATTTTCTTTTTTAAATGCAGTTAAAATATGGATAGTGAACTGGGCTCCAGTATTCACAGATTTTTTTTCATGATATTTCTGCTTTTCATACATCAACAATTCAATCAAGGAAAACAATACCAAAAGAGTCATGGTAATTCTAATGGTAGCCCAAACCCTCCCAACTAGGAAACGAGATTGCAATATTACAATATTAGTGATGGGCCACTAGACCAGAGAGGACCCCACTAGCTCAAGTTACGTGCTATGATAACTGTAACAGAAACTTACCCGTAAATTCACCACATGGAAGTGTGGGCAAGTGTTAAGTGTTCCGAAGGAGACAGTCCAGGTGCTGTTGTTGAAGAATAGGGGTGGCCTAATTTAGCATCCAGGCTAAGCAAGAGGAAGGGTCATTCGGCCACAGAGAACTGCACCCATGAAGACTCCACGTGGAGAAAGAACCGCCGGAAGTTTAGTGGGTGTGGCTGGATCTTCACGTAGAAGGAGTAGAACAGGGGAGACAGGACAGGACCATGCTACGATTGGTGTTTAGGATGCTGAGATAAGTAATTGCTTCACTTTCCTCAAAAGTTCCTTGGAGGGGACTGTCACCACCAGAAATGGAATGCGTCTGAAGGCTCCGTTTGCTGTCCTTGCCATGGTTGTCACATGGGGCTCACTTCACTTGGACTTTAAGAAACTGGAGTGGAAAATTGTATGGCAATGGTTTAGTATTTACTGTTGAAGCCGAAATGCATTAATAGTTATTTTATATGTGAAAGATATAAATCGTTCGTATATCTAAGGGGCCATTTATAAATGCAAATTGCGTATTTTAAACAGTAATAACTTGCCTTTGCATATTGCAGCTTACAGAGTGGATTCACGATCATTTCATCCCTGATCTTCACAATAACCCTAAGTGAAGAAGGTAAGACAGTTATTATCTCCTTGTTACAG